GCATGTGGTCTGAATTAAATAGAGTAGGCTATAGCCTACGCATGGGCGGAGAAGCAAGGGGCAGTTATCTTTCCAAGGAAATGTACTTCCTAAATAGGTATATGATTAGGCTATAACTTACTACATTGCATAGAAATAGGCCTAAATATTGAACACCCTTATTTCTCAGTCTGAAAATCTTCCCTCTCCTAAAGGTTAGCTCAAGAGAAAGTGTAAGTCTCTCCCAACTCTGCGGTCTTCAAACTACATCTAACATATTGGCAGATATAGCCCAGTAATACAATATAAAGGCCATGTGAGAATCTCAGGTAATTTAACCTGTTTAAGTTATTTTTGCGCATTTGATATTGCCTTTAGGACGCAAAATTGCTGGGACCATGGCTGGCAGGTGAGCTGCGTCACATAAGCCTAAAATAACATTGCGGTACTGCGGTTGGGTTTGAGACCAGTTCTTGCGGTAGTGGGTGGGAGTCGGACAGAAAGCCAGTGGGTACGGGCGGTAGCGGGTGAAGAAATTGGTCCCGCGCACACCTCTACTGTGCACCATGACCGTGACGCCTGTAACGTTAGAGCTGTTTATTACTGTGTCAGTGTGAAAAGTAGGGAATTTGCAAGGGAAACTGACCGTTTAATAATGTTACATTGCTATACTGACTAACAAAACTCACAGTGCACTGAAAAAACGTCAGAATATCAATCTTCAATCGTTTGGCTGATAGTTTCATAGTTTGATTCAGGTCTAGTGTAATTGAGGCAGAAATAATTGCTAACGTTAGCCATCTTTTGGCCAGCTCTCTCTCTAGCCGTACATCAACTGGCGAAAGCTTGCCAAGTTCATTTACTTCTGAAACGGGACAAAACAAAGGCTACAAAACATTTCCGTACAAACCACAGCTGTTAGATAGTAATAATAGCCACGCTCTGTGGTGTCCGCGCGGTCCTAAATCCCGATGGCTGAACACTACCCGACCATTCGGAGGGTAGCCTGTTTGGAGTGTTCAGCCATCGGCATTTAGGACCGCGCGGACACCACAGAGCGTGTTGACAGGCTGTGTGAAAGCACCCGGTTGCAGCTTTTTGTGTCACATTGCAAATAATAAAAATAAAAAAAGTAGAAAAAATACATATATAAATATATGCACTCACTAACTGTAAGTTGCTCTGGATAAGACCCTCTGCTAAATGACAAAAATGTAAATGTAATAAAACTGGGGGAGGACAAAACTGCAATTTCAGAATGTGGGAGGGACATGTTCTGTGGTGGTTGTAACAGATGTTGTGCACAACATTTTAGTGAATATTAGGAGAACGTAATATTTTTGGGATGTTATCATCCTAATGTTAGAAAACCCTAACTATAACTTAATTAGAATCGTATCTAATGTTCTGGGAATGTTCCCGGTTTGCTTGGACATCTTTCTTGTTTTCTAATTTGCTTGACTATTCACTTCTATCTCTGTCAGTTGTTCTGTTTGTAACAGGATTCACATTAACTAAAGGCGGTTTAGCGAAACGGCAATATGCATATCTTACACAGCTGATGGCACCCTATTCCCTATTTAGGACACTGTTTTTGACCAGGGTCCTGGTAAAAAAAGTAGTGCACTATATAGGGAATAGGGTTCCATTTAGGACACTGACATGTTTTTTTGCGGTGGGGCTGTGGTTCAACAGATTGAATCTCTCTGTCATATTTTCCACAATGAATATTTCAACACAAGCGTAATCATTTATGGTTTGGGGTTACATTGATATGCCACTGACAACTATTGTGTTCTGCCATAAAACATGACTGGTTTTAAACGGTGATGGTATGAACATATGCATACAACATTAGTTGTCCCAGACATCACCCCCAAGCTTTTCTCATGAAGTTTTATTTCATTCTGGAAATGTTAAAGAAATCCTGAATTATTTTAAAAGCCTATTTATTTGCCAAATGTCTGCATATTTTTTTATTTATTTTTTCATATAAACCATATAGTAGTTATTTTCAATACTCTGTGTTGAATGAATATATATATATATATATATATATATATATATATAGTACACTCAGTCTTCTCAACTCAGGTAGTGTCTAAGTCCTAAATGTAACCAAGGCCCTCTCTCTCCTTCCATAGTTCTTTCTGTCAGATGAAGATCGCCTGGCCACACCTACCACAGACATCCCCCACCCTGCCCGAGGGCTGGAGGTTGTTCCCCAGTCTGGCGTGAGCACCGAACCTGAAGATGCCACCTCCACAGAGTGAGTACACCTCCCCATTTTCATTTCATTATAACCATAATGATGTGATCGGGTGAGAGAATTTTTGGCAGTTGAAGAGTGTCACCCTCCTTTGCGGCACAGCACAGCAAGGACTCTTTTGTAGCACGTAGCCTGATACTGCTCGCTTTGAGGCTTTCTCATTCGCTGATTGGATGAAAGAGGTTGTGTGCGTGTGTGTGTCTGTCGCCCACGTGTCCCGTAGTGCCGGCCGGGACACACTTAACGTTACCATGTCCCAGGCATCCAGGCAGCCTGCAGGGTGCTGATCTAATAGGGCCTGATTCCCCAAGCAAGAACAAAGAGCCATATTTCACCTGTCTGTCTCCATAGAGAACACCAACCCTTCCTACTAACACACCTCTCCTCCCGACCCTCCACCTATGGCATTTAGTCTCAGGACACATTAGTGCTTTGTCTTGTCTGGGTCTGGCATAAAACTTTGTGGGCTCCCCTTTCATCTCCTTTCTCAAGTCTGCTGTAATATCACTCTGTGGACTTCCTTCTACTACTCCTAAAACTGCACACTACACATTGGAAGGTAGAGGTGTCAACCAAGTGGAATATTCTGACCGCAGAGGGATCTTTGGAATATAGTTGTTTTCTGAAACTACCAGCTTTTTGGAGACACTGAGTGTTTTTTGGTGTCGGAAGGATCTGCCTGGACGGATGAATTCTTATTGGGCATTTTCAATCTTTAGTTTGTCGATAGCTACATTCAGAATGATTTCATTTGATTAAGTGTTTTTTATTCTCCTGTGAAATGAGCTTTTCTGTATGTTTGATAATGTAGCTATCGTGTAGAGGGAGACCAACAAACCATTCTCCTTTTGTATCTCAGAACATGTGAATTTTGTCATTTACTGGCCCAGTCTCCTAGATGTAGTTATGTTGTGTAGCTCACTCCAGGTTCACATCTAATCTTTTGTTGACCTTAAAGTTATTAACTCTCTAATTTCTTTCTCTCCTCTCCCAGAAAGCCCTGTCCGGCCTCGTCCAGCAGTGACCCGTCCGAACCCACCCCTCTGATCCGCGTGGCCAGCCGCAGCTACGACCTGCAGGAGCGCCGGCGCACGGGCAACATGACTGGCACCGAGCAGGCCAAGTACGAGCGCATCCCCACAGACGAGAGCGAGGCGCAGACACTGGCCTCCGCCGACCTGGATGGGATCAAAAGTGAGTCTTGAGAAATATTGCCAGCCTCAGTCACTTCATGTTCAGCCCTTGTTCTCCACTGAAGCAATGTTTTAGTGCTTACTTTAATTGCACGGTTGTAGATATCATTTAATTCAGAGCCAAGACGACATGTGGATTCTCTCTTTGTTTAGACAGCATGTTATGTTCAAACTTCTACATTTTAAGGGCTGTTTTGTCCATTTGGAGATTTATTCGGAAGCCCAGTACTCTGAACTAAACTCTCCCTGACCTAAGAATCTAAACTCTCCCTGACCTTAGTGTTCACTCAGGCTACTGTGCCAGATTAATTTTTAAAGATGTATTTTTTACATTTTACTTCATCAAGTGCTTAATATCTTGCTCTTCGTGTGTGTGCAGCTGTGTGTGTGTGTGTGTGTGTGTGTGTGTGTGTGTGTGTGTGTGTGTGTGTATGCTTGTGTGAAGAAAATAGTCTTTGGCTCCACTGAAGGTCGGAATGCCCTAAACATAGAGAAATAAGGGGGCACACGGGTACATTAATGAGGGGCACTATGAGTCAGTGTGCTCCCCCCCAACCCCCCCATTGTCCTGTGACGTCCCCAGCTCCAGTGGCACCAGGGGTGATTTACGTCAGGGGCTCGACCCCTCAGCGGACAGTGGCAGCTTATCAGAGAGTGTGGCGGACATTGACAGAATAGGAGCGAAGTCCTCTAATTAAATTAGCCTGTTCCCGCTGTAAACTGAGGCCCCTGGAACCAGGCCCGAGTCAACCCGGTGGCTAATTGAGAAAGCTGCCCCTCTGGTTCACAACCCCCAAGTCATAAGTGCCAATAAAACTGTGGGGGAAGCTGAATTGCATGGAGATGATCTGATGTAGGTCCAGTGCCAACATGGGGCTACGTGACATAGAGGGTGTGGCCTTTGTGAGGGTCCCTGACCGCATCAGGAGTCTCCTCGTGTGGATCTTCTTTTATCTGCTTCCCAACACTGCAAAGCAGCCTGGGAAAGTGACTCTGCGGCTGGCCGCTGCTCAACGATCTGAATTATTAGATCACTGTCTCCTTCCCCTTTTGTTCAACCCTCCATCTGTTAGCACCTCCACTAGCTAATGCGCTTGGACAGTTTCTACCCTAACCAGGTCAGGTGGGGGTCAAGGAATGGCAACTTTTTCCTGCAGTCCTGGACTGGAGCTTGAGATGGTAGAGGTCACGGTTCCTCATTCCCATGCCAGCTCTATGCCCACCTCCAAGCTCCTCTCCTTCAAGAGTGCCAACCTTGCCCTGGCCGAGTCCCACTTCAGGACTTCCCAGACACCCACACGCGCGCAACTGGAGTCCGACACATTGTGAAGCCTCTAAGGCGGATGAACGGTTCCAGTGGACAAAGCCCCAAGGTCTGACAAGGTACAGCGACACCTTACATTGAAACCCAGACAATGAACGAGGCTCAAATGACAGAAGATGATACTTCGTTCCTCTCCAGTTTCACTCGCGGAGTTTTCCAAGGACGTACAGGACAACTCGTTCTTTAGGAGAAATGCTGTCATTTTTCTACACCCTCAGTTTTAGGTGATGAATTGATGAAGGTGCTCAACGACCAGGGTGTTTCTCAAACGGGGAAGGAGCCCACTGACAAAGGTAAGGTTAGTTCCTACCTCTGACAGGATCATCCACACCTTTTGCCGCCTTCCCTCTGAGATGTATCCGACCAGCTCTCTGCCATCCAGCCTCATTATTACATTGACATTTTAGTCATTTAGCAGACACTCTTATCCAGAGCGACTTACGGGAGCAATTTGGGTTAAGTGCCTTGCTTAAGGGCACATCGACACCTAGTCGGCTCGGGGATTAGAACCAGCGACCTTTCGGTTACTGGCACAACGCTCTTACCCACTAAGCTACCTGCCGAACCCATTTTCCAGACTGTCCTTGGTTTGCGGCAAGCCTGGTAACCCAACTAGGGTTTAATAGTGGGAACCGGGTTACTGAGATTTCCCGCCCAAACCCACTCCCGTTTCCCAGGAACAATAACTGCGAGAAACCGGTAAATTATAATAAATTATTTATATGAACAGCTTGACGTGAAAAGGAACAGTGAAGTTATATGCAATGTCTATATCGGTCTTCTCTACGGCCTTCTCTGCTATCTGCATGATCAATCATCAACGCTCAGGGTGGGGACAGACAGCGCATCTCATATGCAGTTCACAATGCATGGATCATTTCATCAGTGGGTAACTTTTTTTCTCGTGACATAGTCTATGCCATCCAGCCTCATTATCCAGACTGTCATAGCCTATGCTACAGTAATATTAGGACTAATATAACTGAATGTGCATCTAATTTACACATCTCCATCTGCTTTTCAGGGGGTCACCTTATTCTAAAAAAATTGCAGCTGCAGAGTTTTAAAACAGCCTATCCTTTGAATATCGTTGCTTTAAATAACTCGAGTATCGTTGCTTTAAATCGGTGCTCACGTGAGAACGGTGTTTGGCTCTCTCCATTGCATCAAAAATAGGTAATTCTGTTAGAGATTAATATATTTACAGTTGCAGCCAAATATATTGGCACCCTTGCACTTTTCTTAAATAATTCCCTATTTCTTCTAAAATAAGTTGAAATTCAAAAAAAGGTTTGCTCTCCTCACTTTATTGGATTTTCAACATTGCAAAACCAATTTTATTTTTGTGAACTTAAGTTAATGATTTTAATTTAACAAATACAATTATTGGCACACCGGCGCTAGTACTTGGTTGCACCGCCTTTGGCCAAGATAACGGCCAACAAATGAGTTGGATAAAATAAAATATAAAGGTCTCTGTGTTTTTGGAGTGCAATGTTCAACCCACTGTCCAAAAACTGTTTGTCTGATGAAGGTTGTGGATCTTCCAGCAGGACAACCCCCTAACACACATCAAAGCACCCTGAAGTTGTTCAAGAAGAAACGCTGGACTGTTCTGGAGTGGCCAACGAAGAGTACAGATCTGAATCACATCCATTACCTATGGCAAGAGCTGAAAACAGCAGTTGGTGGAGGGTACCTCTCAAACATTGAAGAATTAGAGAAGTTTGCTGCTGAAAAGTGGGACAAATTGCTAGTAGAAAGTTGCAGCAAGCTCATTGATGGCTACAAGAAGCGTTTGTCTGTAGTTATCTTGGCCAAAGGCTGTGTAACCGAGTACTTGTTCTGGGGTGCCAATGATTTCCTACATGCCATGTCTTTATTTTCTAAATTAATATTGTAAACTTAAGTTTAGAAAAATAAAGTGGGTAATTCTGCAATGAATCCAATAGCAAGGTATGGAGAACACATTATTTTTCAACTTATTTGAGAAGAAATAGGGAATTCTTTAAAGATGGACTATGCAGAAATCGCTCCACCATTTCCTGGTTGCCAAAATTCTAATAGTTCGCTTTAATTTGTGACAAAACAAGCAGGTATAGTGTAGAGAATCATTATACCTTCTAAACAGCTGTGAAATAGATTTTACATAGCCCAAAATATTGTATTTTCAGCTATTTGAAGCTGGTGTGCAAAACAAAGTAAAATATGCAAAAAATGGAAAGTATAGAAATAGTGTGCATACAACAACAGATCCTATCACATCTTAGACTTTCTTTTAATGAGAATGACACATTTCTAAGTGAATTTGGTCGGGTCGTCCAAAAAGTTACATATTGCAGCTTTAAGAAAAGTGCAAGTGTGCCAATGTATTTGGCCTCTATATATTCTGTGCCTTTGCGATGTATTATCATAGCCCTTGACTTATTTATTTCACATTGTGTTGTGTTACAGCCTGAATTTAAAAATTATTTAAATAGATGTTTGTGTTACACCGCTGTACTCCACACATACAATTCGAGCAGTGAATTTCAAACACAGATTCAACCACAAAGTCCACAAATATTGAATCAATTTTGAATTCAGGCTGTAACACAACAAAATGTGGAATAAGTCAAGGGGTATGAATACTTTCTGAAGGCACTGTAGCAATAGGTGCCCTTCTTTACGAGGCATTGGAAAACCTCCCTGGTCTTTGTGGTTGAATCTGTTTGAAATTCACTGCTCGACTGAGGGACCTTACAGATAATTATATGTGTGGGATACAGAGATGAGGTAGTCATTCAAAAATCTAACCCAGAAATTCCAGTCCATATGATACAGTATAATACAATACAGTACAGGAATACAGTCCACACTCAAAAAGATTACTGGAGCTTGTTTCATTTATTTACCCAAGAGAGCATACATCTATGGGCTTTTATGTTTTTCTGTCATGCGTAATGTACGGTAGCCTATAGCCTATCATATGTATTGGATAACGGCACAATCATTTGGGCTTTTTTGGGATTGGGCTCATAACATTTATTTAATGTAGGGCTCAGATAGTATCAGGCTTGAATTTTCATGCCGCTCAAAACTCTAATCAAATCCAGACATTTATATGCTGTATATGGTTTAGAATGACACTTGCGGTTTTGGCGGGAAATACCTGGTTACCTGGGAGAAAAGTGATTTGTTCTCGGGATGGAACATTTGTAAAATACCGGGAAAATATTAAACCCTAAACCCAACCCCACAGCAGTGCCAGGTGAACAAAGCAACAGCCTGGCCTCTGTGACTGTGGGACTCTGAGATGTGATCTGGTATTGGGATGGTGGGGGCCGTCACAGAGCCAAGAGCTCAGTGTTGGGCAGACCACTGTCTGGGGAAAAAGCTGCAACTCTACAATGGATGGGGGTGACCAATACTTGATCATTTCATGTTGTTACCTCTCCTCTCTCTCCTTAGGCCATCGTTTTGAGGATGTTCCTGGGGTACGGAGACACCTGGTCAGAAAGAGCACCAAAGGCCAAGTGGTGCATGTCGGCAAGGACCACAAGGAGCCCAGCACACGCAGCCACAAAAAGGACCGGACCCCACATGAGGTGAGCGACGGAAAATACTACCTGTAGTACCCACTCCTTTGCTGATGTTGGGACACATTGTCACATCCCTTGTTTCAGATATGATTGAGTTTTATTTATCAGATGGTTTTCATGGATTTGCTGATGTTTTTGGCAAGGATGGTTTAAAAGTAAATGTGGTTAATTGCTTCTTGATCCATATTTAAACAAATAAATACAACTAAAATTGGAACATCAACTGGAAAATCCAGCAAAAATATTCCCCCCTCTGAATTTTGTGGATGGGAGAGTGGGCAGGACACAATACATTTTTTATGAATGAGTTCTTTCCTTTCACACACTCAAAAGAAAGGGGCAGAGAAGAGCTCATGTAAGGAGACACTGGGTTCTCCCTGAGAGAGGGAGCCCTGTTTTATTAACACATACACACAGGTCCCCAGCAGCCAGGTAAACAACAGGTTTATCACAGGGTAACGAGTGTGTGGGGGGTAGATGTAAGGGTCCCCTGCTCTGTGCGCGGATCAGTGTTAGTTGTCAGTATGTTGAGCCCACGCCTCCTCCACCCTCTCGCTCCTTCCAGTCGTTACCGCCAGTGGTTCTGTACCGTTCTGCCTCCCGGCCAGACGGCATGGTCATACTGGACTACTCCGGCCAAATGGCCCGGCCCCAGAAGGTGAGGCGGCTTAGCCGGCCAAATACATGTTCCAGGAGTGTGTGTGTGCATGTAGCGACGGGTCTGCACGTGAGGGTAGGTGCAGTATGGTTACTCGATAATCATTAGTTGTGTTGTTGGCTTGGTACTAAAACAGGTAGTGATGGGTTGGGTATCACTAACTCATCAGCATGGAGTTCGATTGGTTGATCTTTAACCAGCCTTTTGTGAAGTGATAAGGCTGTATGGTGTAATACTGTGTTTCTACTCATGATAGTTTCTACTGTATTTCTACTGTATTTTTACTCATCACAGTTTGTGGATATGTGAGAAAAACCTAATTTAAACAGAGCATCTATTGAGCTCATAAAAATGGTTTTTCACTGAAATGTTGCATTTGCATGTTGCTTAGGCTATTTGCCACTGCCTATATTTGAGAAGTGTATTGGCATTGTGGAAAATGTCATTGCATATTTGTTATTAATATAACCGAGTAACACTGGTGAGTGTGTTTCTGTTTGATGTCAACATGCAGCGCAGACCTGGGTACAAGTACTATTTGAAATCTTTCAAATACTTTGAGCGTTTAATGTCTGGAATGTCAGATGGACGGGTTTGCAGTTTTTTGACTATTCTATTGGTCCATTAATCCAGGCAAGCTCAATCAAGCACAGATAAAGTATTTGAAATGACTTCAAATAGCATTTGAGTCCAGGTCTGATGCAGCTTTCATGGTTTTAAGAAGTCAATAGGTTCAAGGACCAGTGCCAACTACTTTCACACTTCACACTTTGAAGAGTGAAACTAGATAAGCAATTACATATACATATAGTTCTATTATATAATTATTTTTGACTGTCTTCAAAGAAACAGCATGAGCCTGAGAACAGCTAGCGTTAATTCTAAAACAACATTTGGAGAATAATCAAATCAGAAGCAGATACAGCCACATTAAGCATACTGAAAACAATTTATCCTGATAGTTCAGCTATTCGGATCCTCACTGAATCTAATCAGAATTGCTCAATGATAACTTGGATTGAAGGAGATGCTGGCTTGAACATTTACAATTCAGACTCCAGTATGAAAAATGTATAAACTCACTAACTGTAAATCGCTCTGGATAAGAGCGTCTGCTAAATGACTAAAATGTCAAATGTAATGTCTATGGGCATACAAGGAAAATGCTAATATCAAGAATATTGACTTGCATTGGTTTTTGGACAAACATGCTAAAAAAATGTTTGCAATTGGATGCAGTGGCCACCGGCCAGGTATACAAAACAAATGCAGGGAGTGCTCTCTTACCTTGTCCATAGACTGATTTACAGGGTAAATTAACCAATGTCATTTTGTAATTTGGGTGTACTGTCCCTTTAAATTCAGCCTGTCTCCCCTCTCAGGTGTTTGTGGAGCTGAACGAGCTTATCATGGATAAGAACCAGGAGATGCAGTGGCGGGAGACGGCCCGTTGGATCAAGTTTGAGGAGGACGTGGAGGAGGAGACTGACCGCTGGGGCAAACCCCACGTGGCCTCGCTCTCCTTCCGCAGCCTGCTGGAGCTCCGCAAGACCATCTCCCATGGTAGGAGAGAGAGAAGAGACTGAGGGAGAGGAGGGAGAGAGAGGGAGCGATTGTGTGTGTTTAGAGAAAGGAGACTCTGTGTGCAGTGTTTCCCCTATATGAATCGTTGCCGCCACCCCTAAATCGTTGCTGCTGCTCCCAATATTTGTTTAAATATGTTTTTTTCATATTCCAGATATATATACAGTGCATTCGGAACGTATTCAGACCCCTTGATATTTTCCCCATTTTGTTACGTTACAGCCTTATTCTAAAATTGATTAAATAAAACATTTCCCTCATCAATCTACACACAATACCCCATAATGACAAAGCGAAAACAGGGTTCTATAAAAAATTTTTTTCTTTTATATAAATACCTTATTTACATAAGTATTCAGACCCTCCTGTTTCCATTGATCATCCTTGAGATGTTTCTACAACTTGATTGGAGTCCACCTGTGGTAAATTCAATTGATTGGACATAATTTGGAAAAGCACACACCTGTCTATATAAGATCCCACAGTTGACAGTACATGTCAGAGCAAAAACCAAGCCATGAGGTTGAAGGAATTGTCCATAGAGCTCCGAGACAGGATTGTGTCGAGGCACAGATCTGGGAAAGGGTACCGAAACATTTCCTGCAGTATTGAAGGTCCCCAAGAACACAGTGGCCTCCATAATTCTTAAATGGAAGAAGTTTGGAACCACCAAGACTCTTCCTAGAGTTGGCCGCACTGCCAAACTGAGCAATCGGGGGAGAAGGGCCTTGGTCAGGGAGGTGACCAAGAACCCAATGGTCACTCTGACAGAGCTCCAGTGTACCTCTGTGGAGATGGGAGAACCTTCCAGAAGGACAACCATCTCTGCAGCACTCCACCAATCAGGCCTTTATGTTGGAGTGGCCAGACAGAAGCCACTCCTCAGTAAAAGGCACATGACAGCCGCTTGGAGTTTGCCAAAAGGCACCTAAAGGACTCTTAGACCATGAGAAAAGATTATCTGTTCTGATGAAACCAAGATTGTGGATCAAGATTGAACTCTTTGGCCAGAATGCCAATCGTCACGTCTGAAGAAAACCTGGCGCCATCCCTACAGTGAAGCATGGTGGTTGCAGCATCATGGTGTGGGGATGTTTTTCAGGGGCAGGGACTGGGAGACAAGTCAGGATCGAGGGAAAGATGAACGGATTAAAGTACAGCGATATCCTTGATGAAAACCTGCTCCAGAGTAGCTTCGGGACAAGTCTCTGAATATCCTTGAGTGGCTCAGCCAGAGCCCGGACTTGAACCCTATCGAACATCTCTGGAGAGACCTGAAAATAGCTGTGCTGTGACGCTCCCCATCCAACCTGACAGAGCTTGAGAGGATCTGCAGAGAAGAATGGGAGAAACTCCCCAAATACAGGTGTGCCAAACTTGTAGCGTCATACCCAAGAAGACTCGAGGCTGTAATCGCTGCCTGAATGGTCCAGCACCCAAAGCACATCCAGCCAACTTGACACAGCTGTGGGAGGCATTGGATTTAACATATTTTGTACACCGTGTATGTGTGTGCGTGTACGTGTGTGTGTCTGTGCGTGTGTGTGTGTGTGTGCCCGCCCTGCTGTGACCCCAGTGTCCTTGTGCCCTCTGCCACCAGGGGCGGTGTTGTTGGACCTGGACCAGAAGACCCTGCCTGGCATCGCCCACCAGGTGGTGGAGCAGATGATCATCTCAGACCAGATCAAGGCTGAGGACCGCGCAAACGTGCTCCGAGCCCTGCTGCTCAAACACAGGTACACCATCACCACTACACCTAAACACCAACCAGGACGGCTCAGTGGAAAATACACTCTTGAGTATCTAGTAACCCTCTTAGTATGGAAGTACGGAATACTTGTGTAGATTAAGCAAATTAAGTGTGTGTACACTTTATACTCTGGATATTGTTTTTCAACAGGAAAAGTATAAAAAACTAGCTGGAGTTCGTCTAATTTTCTGATCTCATAGATGAAATAGCATTAATAGCTCAGCATGTCAATTCACACAATGTTAAACATGCCATGTCTCTGCCTGTCTCCCTGGTCCCGCCGCCTGCTTGCTTGGTAGGTCGCACCTTGCCCTCTCGCACGCTATGTATCTCCTGCTCAACCTCTGTGTGCCTTTACCTCCCTCCCCCCGCAGTCACCCGAGCGATGAGAAGGAGCACAGCCACAACCCCTTCCCCAGGAACATCTCGGCGGCCAGCCTGGGCAACCTGCTGCCCCACCAACACAGCTCCAACCACATCCACCATCCAGAGCCCTCCGTCACAGACCCCCTCATGGGCTTGACAAGCACGGGGGAGCAGGAGACACGCATCGACATGGAGAAGAACGACCTGCAGGTAGCTACAGTATAGGTTTGATTATATGTAAGGGATAAATGCTGACTCTGCTCCGCCTTGTCCCACTGCGTCGTCCATTATTCCAAGGTAATGTACAGAACGGAGGCGTTTATCCCGATTATACCACAGTTGCCAAAGAAAACAATACTAAAGCACACATTTACCGGTAGAAGTACATTAAGAAAAATGATATTTTCATTTTTCCTTTTAATCTTTTGGTTGCTAGAGACACGATCCAGTCATTCATTCGATATTTATGGACGTGACCCAGTTGTTCGTTCTATATGTTCAGTTGCCATGCTCACTGGCATCGTTCTTGTCCCTTGCTTGCTAGCTAGCCAACTAGCTACGGCTAACACAGTCACAACCTCTGCAGCCAGAATAACAGCAAAGTAGTGCATTTGCATTTGTTTAAGCTGTTTTCTGTTGACATTCATTTGCACACATCCATAACAATGAGCTGATTATGGCCAATTTTGCCTGGCATAGCTAGAAAAGTTTGCCTTCTCATCAGGACACTCGACACTGTTCATTACGTGGAGATCGCGTTGCATATCAAACGCTAGGCTAGAAGCTAGCTAAACAGTTTGTTGCTAGTAAACCTACCATATTGGCATCTTTATTAAAAAATGTCAAACTAGAAACATGTGGGAGGATTTGACAGCATAACGCCACTTGCATCAGGACTGCAACAGTAGGGACCAGATAAATTAATTTTCATCACTCACCACGTTATTAGGTCATCAGATGCTCCAAAAAAAGATGTCTGCAAAAACAAATCAATGCTGGCTAGCTAAGATTTTCCTCATTAGACCTGCGTTTACAATGTATCCAATTTCGGTTTGTGTGGTTGTTGGTTTAGCTTTCTGTAACTTTGTAGCAAGTGCGGGCTGCATCTGTAGGCGCATATTGCATCATGAATGCAAGGTGTCCCGATCTTTTCCAACTGTCCCATTATCTGGTTTTAATGTCCATTCTAGAATGCCCTTCTAGCCAATCAGAAACATGTATTCAACCGTGCTGTGTATAAGTAGTGAGGAATGTATTAGGCAGATTATTCTACTGCTAAAGAGTGTAGGTAAGTGTGTGTATGTGCAACTTGTGTACACAGGGATATTGAACTATCATGTAAAATCTTCAGTGGATCATTTTTTGTGGAGGGGGCAGTCTGTCCCATTGAGTTACCAAGGCCTGGGTTAAGTCTGTCCTGATTGGTATTGCAGCAGATGGAGTCTACTCCAAATATCGGCATACACCGGTCCAAGTCCAAGCATGAGCTCAAGCTGCTGGAGAAGATTCCAGAAAATGCTGAGGCCACTGTTGTCCTTGTGGGTGAGTGGTCTTATTTAATCTAAGAACCAGAAGTACCAGAAACCGTCTCCTGTTACCTTTTTTTTAATTTCAAATAACATACTACTACTACTACTACTACTACTACTACTACTACTACTACTACTACTACTACTACTACTACTACTACTACTACTATTAATAATAATACACTGCTCAAAAAAATAAAGGGAACACTTAAACAACACAATGTAACTCCAAGTCAATCACACTTCTGTGAAATCAAACTGTCCACTTAGGAAGCAACACTGATTGACAATACATTTCACATGTTGTTGTGCAAATGGAATAGACAACAGGTGGAAATTATAGGCAATTAGCAAGACACTCCCAATAAAGGACTGGTTTTGCAGTTGGTGATCACAGACCACTTCTCAGTTCCTATGCTTCCTGGCTGATGTTTTGGTCACTTTTGAATGCTGGCGGTGCTTTCACTCTAGTGGTAGCATGAGACGGAGTCTACAACCCACACAAGTGGCTCAGGTAGTGCAGCTCATCCAGGATGGCACATCAATGTGAGCTGTGGCAAGAAGGTTTGCTGTGTCTGTCAGCGTAGTGTCCAGAGCATGGAGGCGCTACCAGGAGACAGGCCAGTACATCAGGAGACGAGGAGGAGGCCGTAGGAGGGCAACAACCCAGCAGCAGGACCGCTACCTCCGCCTTTGTGCAAGGAGGAGTAGGAGGAGCACTGCCAGAGCCCTGCAAAATGACCTCCAGCAGGCCACAAATGTGCATGTGTCTGCTCAAACGGTCAGAAACAGACTCCATGAGGGTGGTATGAGGGCCCGACGTCCACAGGTGGGGGTTGTGCTTACAGCCCAACACCGTGCAGGACGTTTGGCATTTGCCAGAGAACACCAAGATTGGCAAATTCGCCACTGGCGCACTGTGCTCTTCACAGATGAAAGCAGGTTCACAGTGAGCACATGTGATAGACGTGACAGAGTCTGGAGACGCCGTGGAGAACGTTCTGCTGCCTGCAACATCCTCCAGCATGACCGGTTTGGCGGTGGGTCAGTCATGGTGTGGGGTGGCATTTCTTTGGGGGGCCGCACAGCCCTCCATGTGCTCGCCAGAGGTAGCCTGACTGCCATTAGGTACCGAGATGAGATCCTCAGACCCCTTGTGAGACCATATGCTGGTGCGGTTGGCCCTGGGTTCCTCCTAATGCAAGACAATGCTAGACCTCATGTGGCTGGAGTGTGTCAGCAGTTCCTGCAAGAGGAAGGCATTGATGCTATGGACTGGCCCGCCCGTTCCCCGGACCTGAATCCAATTGAGTACATCTGGGACATCATGTCTCGCTCCATCCACCAATGCCACGTTGCACCACAGACTTTCCAGGAGTTGGTGGATGCTTTAGTCCAGGTCTGGGAGGAGATCCCTCAGGAGACCATCCGCCACCTCATCAGGAGCATGCCCAGGCGTTGTAGGGAGGTCATACAGGCACGTGGAGGCCACACACACTACTGAGCCTCATTTTGACTTGTTTTAAGGACATTACATCAAAGTTGGATCAGCCTGTAGTGTGGTTTTCCACTTTAATTTTGAGGGTGACTCCAAATCCAGACCTCCATGGGTTGATACATTTGATTTCCATTGATAATTTTTGTGTGATTTTGTTGTCAGCACATTCAACTATGTAAAGAAAAAAGTATTTAATAAGATTATTTCATACATTCAGATCTAGGATGTGTTGTTTAAGTGTTCCCTTTATTCTTTTGAGCAGTGTATTTGATGGGTACTTATATTTGTACTATTTCACACATTAATATGCATGTGTGAATTGGAAATGTATTTTTTTGCATATCCCAACTCTCCCTGAGACACTCTCGGAGAGTGGGGTCACAACCAGGTTCAAATAACATCTGAAACGGTAGTCTAATATCAAGCATTCCCACTTTGTACAGTGTAACAGCATGCCCTGTTACCCTCTAATGTCCCCCCCCTCCTCTCCTCCAGGCAGTGTGGACTTCCTGGAGCAGCCCACCATGGCCTTTGTGCGGCTGCAGGAGGCGGAGGAGCTGGACTCTGTCCTGGAGGTCCCAGTGCCAGTCAGGTTCATCTTCGTCCTGCTGGGACCCCCCAGCACCAACATGGACTACCACCAGATCGGACGCTCCATCTCCACACTCATGTCTGACAAGGTCCGTGCGCTGTACATTTACATTTACTCTTATCCAGAGCGACTTACAAATTGGTGCATTCACCTTATGATAGCCAGTGGGACAACCACTTTACAATTATTATTATTATTATTTTATTTTTTTTTTGGTGTGGGGTAAGGGGGGGTAGAAGGATTACCTATCCCAGGTATTCCTTAAAGAGGTGGGGTTTCAAGTGTCTCCGGAAGGTGGTGAGTGACTCCGTTGCCCTTGCGTCGTGAGGGAGCTTGTTCCACCATTGGGGTGCCAGAGCCGCAAACAGTTTTGACTGTGCTGAGCGGGAACGGTGCCGTTCCCCTCACAGCTCCGTAGGCAAGCACTATGGTCTTGTAGCAGATGCGAGCTTCAACTGGAAGCCACTGGAGTGTGCGGAGGAGCGGGGTGACGTGAGAGAACTTGGGAAGGTTGAACACCAGACGGGCTGCAGCGTTCTGGATGAGTTGTAGGGGTTTAATGGCACAGGCAGGGAGCCCAGCCAACAGCGAGTTGCAGTAATCCAGACGGGAGATGACAAGTGCCTGGATTAGGACCTGTGCCGCTTCCTGTGTAAGGCAGGGTCGTACTCTGCGAATGTTGTAGAGCATGAACCTACAGGATCGGGTCACCGCCTTGATGTTAGCGGAGAACGACAGGGTGTTGTCCAGGGTCACGCCAAGGCTCTTTGCACTCTGGGAGGAGGACACAACAGAGTTGTCAACCGTGATGGCGAGATCATGGAACAGGCAGTCCTTCCCCGGGAGGAAAAGCAGCTCCGTCTTGTCGAGGTTCAGCTTGAGGTGGTGATCCGTCATCCACACTGATATGTCTGCCAGACATGCGATTCGCCACCTGGTTATCAGAAGGGGGAAGATTCATTGTGTGTCGTCTGCGTAGCAATGATAGGAGAGGCCATGTGAGGATATGACGGAGCCAAGTGACTATGTATAGTGAGAATAGGAGAGGGCCGAGAACTGAGCCCTGGGGGACACCAGTGGTGAGAGCACGTGGTGCGGAGACAGATTCTCGCCACGCCCCCTGGTAGGAGCGACCTGTCAGGTAGGACGCAATCCAAGAATGAGCCGCGCCGGAGATGCCCAACTCGGAGAGGGTGGAGAGGAGGATCTGATGGTTCACAGTATCAAAGGCAGCAGATACATTTTACATTTTTAGTCATTTAGCAGACGCTCTTATCCAGAGCGACTTACAGTTAGTGAGTGCATACATTCTTTTTTTATTTTTATATATTTTTTTCATACTGGCCCCCCGTGGGAATCGAACCCACAACCCTGGCGTTGCAAACGCCATGCTCTACCAACTGAGCTACATCCCTGCCGGCCATTCCCTCCCCTACCCTGGACGACGCTGGGCCAATTGTGCGCCGCCCCATGGGTCTCCCGGTCGCGGCCGGCTACGACAGAGCCTGGATTCGAACCAGGATCTCTAGTGGCACAGCTAGCACTGCGATGCAGTGCCTTAGACCACTGCGCCACTCGGTGCCCAGATAGGTCTAGAAGGACGAGAGCAGAGGAGAGTGAGTTAGCTTTAGCAGTGCGGAGAGCGGACACAGAGAAGAGCAGTCTCAGTTGAATGACCAGTCTTGAAACCTGACTGGTTTGGATCAAGAAGGTCATTCTGAGAGAGATAGCAAGAGAGTTGGCTAAAGACGGCACGCTCAAGAGTTTTGGAGAGAAAAGAAAGAAGGGATACTGGTCTGTAGTTGTTGACATCGGAGGGATCGAGTGTAGGTTTTTTGAGAAGGGGTGCAACTCTCGCTCTCTTGAAGACGGAAGGGACATAGCCAGCGGTCAAGGATGAGTTGATGAGCGAGGTGAGGTAAGGGAGAAGGTCTCCGGAAATGGTCTGGAGAAGAGAGGAGGGGATAGGGTCAAGCGGGCAGGTTGTTGGGCGGCCAGCCGTCACAAGTCGCAATATTTCATCTGGAGAGAGAGGGGAGAAAGAAGTCAAAGCATAGGGTAGGGCAGTGTGAGCAGGACCAGCGGTGTCATTTGACTTAACAAACGAGGATCAGATGTCGTCAACCTTCTTTTCAAAATGGTTGACGAAGTCATCCACAGAGAGGGGGGGGGGGGGGGAGGAGGAGTATTCAGCAGGGAGGAGAAGGTGGCAAAGAGCTTCCTAGGGTTAGAGGCAGATTCTTGGAATTTAGAGTGGTAGAAAGTGGCTTTAGCAGCAGAAACGGAGGAAGAAAATGTAGAGGAGGGAGTGAAAAGATGCCAGGTCCGCTGTATTGTGGAGGCGAGAGCAGAGCAAGAGTCAATTGATGGGGGTTTAGTAAAACATCCTTTTATGCCTCTGTTTTGACACCTAACATTTAACCATCATGGGCTGGGTTTCCTGGCCACAGATTAAGCCCAGTCCTGGAGTCAAAAGCACTTTCAATGAGAATCTGCATTGAGCATGCTTTTTAGTAGAGGACTAGGCTTCATCTGTGGCCGGGAAACCGTCCCTATATGTTTTTGTTACTATGGTCATAACCATAATATGTGGTATTTTATCTCGCACAGAACTCTGAATGCAAAAGAAAATCCACACATGGAGTGACCCTGTTTTGTTCTTGTTCAGTGGCTATGAAAGCTCACATATACTGTAGGACGATGAGTGTAACTCCAGTGTTTTTCCTGTTCTCCCCCGCAGCACTTCCATGAGTCGGCCTACCTGGCGGACGACCGCCAGGACCTGCTCAACGCCATCAACGGCTTCCTGGACTGCAGCATCGTGCTGCCCCCCTCTGAGATGGGTGGTGAGGAGCTGCTGCGCTCCGTGGCACGCTTCCAGAAGGAGATGCTTCGCAAGAGGGAGGAGCAAGGAGCCCTGCTGGCCAAGGAACCCAAGAGCCAGGAGGAGAAAGGTGGGGAATTCCGCAATTTTGTTCACAGGGAAATTATGTCCTAGCAACTTTCTTAGCTTCTCAGACCGTTACATGGACCCAGATGATAATATTTTAAAAGTTTCCTTTTTTTTAATGCAAAAAAGATTCCAAAGAAACGTCGCTTTTCTAGTCCAGTATTTGAAATCGGTCTGTGTTAATGTATTCCAGAGGCTCTCCTCTCACCCGGGAAGCCGGGAGACGACCCCCTGCAGCGTACTGGACGACCCTTCGGAGGCTTAATCCGAGACGTGAAGCGCCGCTACCCAAAGTACGTGAGCGACTTCAAGGACGCGCTGAACGCCCAGTGCGCGGCGGCCGTCATCTTCATCTACTTTGCTGCCCTCTCCCCCGCCATCACCTTCGGAGGCCTCCTGGGTGAGTCCCAGGGGTTAAATGCAGCCAGCTAGCAAATTCTGGCACATTTACAGAAATGTCCCTGTGTAAGTTAATAAAGTGACGTGAAGAATGGGGAACAATGAATAGGAAGCAAAAATAACCACAACATCTACCCGTCTACCTCTATCAACACATAACCAGACACTTAGCATGTGTTTTAAAGTAGGCAATGGAGCTATATTGAATATGTACATAGCTTTTTAAATAACATTCTTAGGTCATTCTCTGAATGTTGCCTGTGTGGGTTCTTGACTGTGTGCCTTGTGGTAGGTGAGAAGACTGAGGGTCTGATCGGTGTGTCTGAGCTGATCGTGGCCACAGCGGTGCAGGGTGTTTTCTTCTGCCTCTTGGGGGCCCAGCCGCTCCTGGTGGTGGGCTTCTCCGGACCCCTGCTCGTCTTCGAAGAGGCTTTCTACTCGGTTAGTTACCTCAAACTGGGATCTGAGATCACATTCTTGACTACTGCATAAGAGTCCCTTTTTGTATTTTCCTGCCGTTGATGTTGACCTGTGTGTGTGTGCGGCCACATGTCACTCTTCCATCAGTGTCACAACTCGATACTCAGTTCTGTCTTAATTGCGTCCTAACCATTCTTTCTCTCGCTGTCTCTCTGTCTGTGTGTGTCCATAGTTCTGTAAGGGGAACGAGATAGAGTACCTGACAGGCCGGGTGTGGATCGGCTTCTGGCTCATCATCATCGTGGTGACGACAGTGGCCTTGGAAGGCAGCTTCCTGGTACGCTTTGTCTCACGCTTCACCCAGGAGATCTTCTCCTTCCTCATCTCGCTCATCTTCATCTTCGAGACCTTCTCCAAAATAGGCAAGGTACTGTACACTTGACGCTCAGTTAACTATAGTATTGAAACTGATAGAAACGATTTAGTGCCCTTCTAAGTGCTAAAAGCACTTTACATTATAGAGAGGGGATCCAATCTGACTGATGATAAATGGAACTGACTTTAGATTGGACTGTTCTCAAAACATGGGGTCAAAATGAGTACGTTTTCTTAACAGGTACACTCTTAAGAAAATATTTTGTGGTTGAGTGGCCATGATCCGAGAACAAAGTGAAAGGGACAGACATCCCGACAATTATCTGGGCTTATGATTTCAGGAATGTTACTATTTTTAGACCTCTGCGAACACAAGACTTTCAAGGGATTATTTGTGTCAGGATTAATCTGTTTGCTGGGACCTTACAGGTATGTCAGTTTGAATCCCTCTGAAGCCGTGTTGAAGTGATCTCAGAGAGGGGTGTGTGCGTGCGTAGGTGCGTGCGTGAAGCGGTGCTTTAATGTGAATGTTTTCTTTCTGTGTTGCCGGGCAGATTTTCATGGAGCACCCATTGCAGCGCTGTTACCTTGACAACAGCACGGCGGAGAACACCACAATGGAAAATAGCACCCTGGAGCTATTGCTTGGCAACGGCACTATTTCGGTGGTGCCGGTGAAGGTCCTAGGGGAACCCAACACGGCACTGCTCTCCCTGGTGCTCATGTCTGGAACCTTCTTCATTGCATTCTACCTGCGCAAGTTCAAAAACAGTGCCTTCTTCCCCGGCAAGGTAAGACACCGATACGCTTTATGAGGAGAAGGGGCGCTTTTCATTCTCACTCTAAGCACAATAGGGTTATCAGGATGGATTTCAATTCAATACAAACTTAAAGGAACTATTTTGTGTTGTTCAGCTCCGTAGGATCATTGGAGATTTCGGGGTCCCCATAGCCATCCTCATCATGGTCCTAGTGGACTACAGTATACGGGACACTTACACACAGGTGAGTAGTACTGCAATGAAAATAATTCATTGAATTGTCTGGATTAATAAGCTTAACTACTGTCTTACTGAGAAATTATATAGAACCAGTTACATTGAAGACATAATAGTGCATGTTATGTCATCACCCTCTATAACACCTCACTTCCCTTATCCCTGACCTTGTGTAGAAACTGAGCGTGCCCAGTGGCTTCTCTGTGACCAGTCCTGAGAAGCGTGGCTGGGTGATCAACCCCCTAGGCATGGACACCCCGTTCCCAATCTGGATGATGTTTGGCAGCGTGCTGCCCGCCCTCCTGGTGTTCATCCTCATCTTCATGGAGACACAGATCACCACGTGAGACACACTATCACACTACATTACCCATCACCCCTGTGTTCCATCATGAGCTCCCCCTTAAATGATTAGTGTGAATGGATCGTATACAAACTGCGGGAAATCATGGAAGACATTACATTATATACTGTATATGATAGGATGTTTTTATCCTGCAAGTTGATTGACTCATTCTCTGCTTCTCACCTGCCCTCCTCTCTTCTCCCCTAACTCAGTCTGATAGTGAGTAAGAAGGAGCGAATGCTGGTGAAGGGTTCCGGTTTCCACCTGGACCTGCTGGTGATCGTAGTGCTGGGCGGCACCTCTGCCCTCTTCGGCCTGCCCTGGATGGCCGCCGCCACTGTGCGCTCCGTAACGCACGCCAACGCCCTCACCGTCATGAGCAAGGCGGTCGCCCCCGGCGACAAGCCCCGCATCCAGGAGATCAAGGAGCAGCGGGTTACAGGGTTGCTGGTGGCCGTCTTAGTAGGTGAGTGTCTATTGGATAGATGTCGAATAGACTAGCCTGGAAGATGTTTGGTGCTTCTCAAAAGTTGAACGTAGCTTCCTCCCCTTGACTCCTCCCCTTCTTCTGCAGTGATCTGAAGACACAGGATAAAAACAAAACATAGAAACGAAATATCTGTGACTTTGCTTACGGTGACTTTGCTTTCACCTGTGTAGTTAATTCACGTCAGACTACTAGAAGAAGCAACTGTAGTAGAGTATTGAGACGCAGTCATGTTTGCAGTAATATCTCTTAACTCTTCTTCCCTCGTCCTCCAGGCCTTTCAATAGTGATCGGAGACCTGCTGCGTCAGATCCCCATCGCCGTGCTGTTTGGCATCTTCCTCTACATGGGCGTGATGTCACTCAATGGAATCCAGTTCACCGAGCGTTTGATGCTACTGCTGATGCCCCCCAAGTACCACCCCGACCACACCTACGTCCGCAAGGTGACCACGGCTCAGAGTCACAGAGAGGCTCTGGTTCCCTAAACCTTTTTGGCCCTAATACATCGAATATATAGCTTGGTCCCTGATCAGTCTAATGAGTAGGAGTTGTCAAAACTGCTCAAACAGATCTGTGATAAGGCTGTCAAATAGAGCCTTTCCTGTATAATCCACTATATCAGGGATGGGCAACTTTGATGGGGGTGGGGGCCACAAAAACTCTGAATTTATCATGAGGGGCTGCAGTGGCTCGTGGGCCTGCATACCCGCATCCATACCCACACATGCAGTCAGAGCCAGCCCTAGCTTACATTTTGTTGGGGGGCCCACCCCACCTTGCGAGCAAACATACCCCCCTCTTGACAGCAGAGGGGAAAAAATGATGCAATTCTACACATTTTGCCATAGGGTGGAGAGAAATATTTGCGATTTTTAAGCTAATTTCCTACAATTCTATACATTTTGCCCTGATTTAAGCCATAATGTAAATGTAAATGTAATGTTCATATGATATCTGAGTGAGAGTAAATTACAAAATCAATGGGGCCCCCCTGGAGGTTAGGTCCCCTGGTCATGTGCCCGATTGGTAATTAAATCATGATTACTTCAGAAAGCTGGCTAGACTAACTTACCAAATAAACAAAACAAAAATTCTGACATAGGCTAATTGAGTGACTGTCAGTGACTGACATAAGATAATTATTATTATTTATTTTTCGGAAATTGATCCACGGGCCTACAAAAGTGGGGCCGCCGCCAGTTGCCCATCCCTGCACTATATAAACCCATAGAGGCTATTTCCACCAAGGGGATACCAGATTTTGTATACATACACTGAGTGTACAAAACATTACGAACACCTGCTCTTTCCATGACATAGACTGACCAGGTGAAAGCTATGAGGGGAGGAGACAGGTTAAAGAAGGATTTTAAAGCCTTGAGACAACTGAGACATGGATTGTGTATATGTGCCATTCAGAGGTTGAATGGGCAAGACAAAAGATTTAAGTGCCTTTGAACAGGGTATGGTAGTAGGTGCCAGGCGCACCGGTTTGAGTGTGTCAAGAACTGCAACGCTGCTGGGTTTTTCTTGCTCAACAGTTTCCCATGTGTATCAAGAATGGTCCACCATCCAAAGGACATCCAGCCAACTTGACACAACTGTGGGAAGCATCGGAGTCAACATAGGCCAGCATCCCTTTGGAACGCATTTGATACCTTGTAGAGTCCATGCCCTGGCGAATTGAGGCTGTTCTGAGGGCAAAAGGGTTGCAACTCAATATTAGGAAGGTGTTCCTAATGTTTTGTACACTGTGTATGCGCTATACCGTATTACATACTCATGATTTTCATTGTCCCCTTTCGTGTGTATTACGGTAATCAACGTTATTAACTAATAGTAACTGTGTCCCCCAGGTGAAAACGCTGCGGATGCACCTGTACACACTGATCCAGCTAGTGTGTCTGGCGGCGCTGTGGGCCGTGATGTCCACCGTGGCCTCGCTGGCCTTCCCCTTCGTCCTCATCCTCACCGTCCCCGTCAAGATGTTCCTGTTGCCGCGCATCTTCACCACCCGTGAGATGCAGTGTGTAAGTTGACCCTCACAGGGGCGCACTAGGCCCATACACTAGCTTTAGGGCCATTCACTAGGAGTCACCCTATGGGCCCTGGTCAAAAGTAGTGAATTAGGGTGCCATTTGAGATGTATCGACTTTCTCTACTCAGAGGTTGTTTCAGGAGAGGGCCTTATGGCACATTAGTTGTAATACTTACGGAGTTTATTCTTAAAGGATAAGTTGTTTTTTTACAACCAAATCTACATTTTTAATGTAAATGGCATGTTGTAGAAGGGTCCAACACCTTTTTTGTGATTTCACCAAACAGCGAATCACTTCCTCATGCTCGTTGTGCACTATGAGGGTCCTGAAAAACCATGAACAAAGGCTCCAAAAACACTCAAATACGTCCTTTTAGAAACGGCAAAGCTCTCAGTATAGTGATGCAGGTCTTTGCACATGAAATTGTCATTCCGAACTTTATCCGCAATGTTATATTCCCTTTTGTGCAATTCACGATGTTTCCCATATCCAGCTGTTAGATTCTCGGTGTAGTCTGCTGCTACAAGTAACTGCCAAAATCAAGGAAACACCAACATAAAGTGTCTTAATAGGGTGTTGGGTCACCACGAGCCGCCAGAACATCTTCAATGCGCTTTGGCATAGATTCTACAAGTGTCCGGAACTTCCTGTGTGGAAGCACCTGTTTTTAATATACTTTCTATCCCCCATTTAGAGAGTTATTTAAGGTACTCTTCAGAGGTAGGGTAGGGTTAACGGTACAGCTACTGCCTTGCTCTAACAGTCTGCTCTCCTCTCTCACAGCTGGATGCTGATGACGCAGAGCCCATCTTTGACGAGAGAGAGGTCCATGATGAATACTCGGAGATGCACATGCCTGTGTGACCCACGCCATCATATACCTACCGCTGTATTCTTCCCCCAGTGGCCACCCCATCCTGCCAATCAATCGACCAGCCAAGGAGATGCTTGCCCAATGGCTCCACCAGCAAAGACCCTATATATATATATATATATATATATGACAGACCATCATTGAGCACTGTTGGTCCTTGCTTCCATTGCTGTAACCTGACCAAAGGGTAAAGATGTGGCATGCAGTCTTGGTGTTCTGAGACCCAGCTCTGTCATGGAGGGGTTTAAGACCACTCATAACCCCTGTCAATCTCATTCACTGGGACACAGTTCAATTGGGTGCCATGAATAGATTCAACGTTCTCATGACAACATACAGGCGTTCTCATGATGACACACAGCTGGAAATGGGGACACATTATAAGGGGGAACTTCCTGTCCCCTGAAGGGGTTAGGGGTCATAACCCTATAGAGAGCACTTTGTGGCATTAGGTATGAATACAGACTGAAAGGTCCAACCGGTTCAGCATATTTATTTATATCATTCATCATCATCATCCATGTTTTAATATATTTCAACATATTAGCCTTTTTTTTATGTAGGGGAGAGGTTCAAATTCAGTTGTGTGCTATAAATGTCTATTTTCAAGGTTTATTCCAATGACAGTATATGGTAGGTCGTTTAGTACACAATGATTAATTGTTCAACCCTGAAAGGTTGCGCTGATTCACATTGAATGTGTAGAGGATTATATATGGCATACATTCCTTGAGTCAATATATTTAACATATTGCGCTTTCACTTTGTATATTTAGCTCTTTTAGCTCACTAAGCGCCTTATGAAGGACATGATAGCTGTACAGGGACACCTAATAATGTTACCTTTGTTTTTAACAGCTGTTCCATTCAACAGCCACTCTCAGCACTTTTTAAGACACCAAATCTGGACATTTCTAAAAAGTTAGTTTTTGGGGTATAACATTGAATGTTTTATATTTTACTTTGTGTCTTCATAGTCTATCAAATACTATGCTGTGTAAAAAGTGTGATTTAGTTTCCAAACGATTGCAAAGGGGACAACCTGCTCCAACCTCTGACAGATATTAAGGTGGTGGTCCAGTGGTTTTTACCAATAGTCATTACAACAGGTTAGCAGTCAGCAGTCTTGTGGAGTCGTGATGAAATGTTGGGTATCTATGTTATTGTGTCGTTTATTTGCTTTCATCCAGTCATCATCCCCCTCTAGTGTTTATGCTGCCGCTGTGGTGGCTAAAGCTTACCAGCAGAGGGAGACCAAATGTAACCAAAGTACACATTGTAGTACCAAATGCTTTTAAAGGACTGTACTGAACGGGAAATAACTCTCCCCAATCATTTTGTCATTCGTATTTTCTCCAGAAAAACATGTATTTGAGTTACTGAAATGGGATCACGTCTCTCAAGTGCTACACAATCTCAACACATTTCTGAAGTACTGGGTATATACGGTGCCTTCGGAAAGTATTCAGACCCCTTGACCTTTTCCACATTTTGTTACGTTACAGCCTTATTCTAAAATTGATTAAAGTGATTTTTTCCCTCATCAATCTACACACAATACCCCATAAAGACAAAGCAAAAACAGGTTTTTAGACATTTTTGCTAATTTCTTAAAAATTACAAACAGAAATATCACATTTACATAAGTATTCAGACCCTTTACTCAGTACTTTGTTGAAGCACCTTTGGTAGCATGCATGCATCAAAACTTTGTTCATTTGCACAATGTCTCTCATTCACATTCGCTTGGCACACCTGTATTTGGGGAGTTTCTCACATTCATCTCTGCAGATCCTCTCAAGCTCTGTCAGGTTGGATGGGGTGCGTTGCTGCACAGCTATTTTCAGTTCTCCAGAAATGTTTGATCGGGTTCAAGTCCAGGCTCTGGCTGGGCCACTAAGGACATTCAGAGACTTGTCCCGAAGCCACTCCTGTGTTGTCTTGGCTGTGTGCTTAGGGTCGTTGTCCTGTTGGAAGGTGAACCTTCGTCCCAGTCTGAGGTAGTAAGCGCGCTTGAGCAGGTTTTCATCAAGGATCTCTCTGTACTTTGCTCCGTTCATCTTTGCCTCGATCCTGACTAGTCTCCCAGTCCCTGCAGCTGAAAAACATCCCCACAGCATGATGCTGCCACCACCATGCTTCACCGTGGGGATGGTGCCAGGTTTCCTCCAGACGTGACGCTTGGCATTCAGGCAAAAGAGTTCAATCTTGGTTTCATCAGACCAGAGAATCTTGTTTCTCATGGTCTGAGAGTCTTTAGTTGCCTTTTGGCAAACTCCAAGTGGTCTGTCATGTGCCTTTTATTGAGGAGTGGCTTCCGTCTGGCCACTACCATAAAGGCCTTATTGGTGGAGTGTTGCAGAGATAGTTATCCTTCTGGAAAGTTCTCCCATCTCCACAGAGGAACTCTGGAGCTCTGTCAGAGTGACCATCGGGTTCTTGGTCACCTCCCTGACCAAGGTCCTTCTCCCCCGATTGCTCAGTTTGGCCGGGTGGCCAGCTCTAGGAAGAGTCTTGGTGGTTCCAAACTTCTTCCATTTAAGAATGATGGAGGCCCCTGTGTTCTTGGGGACCTTCAATGCTGCAGACATTTTTTGGTACCCTTCCCCAGATCTGTGCCTCGAACAGAATCCTGTCTCGGAGCTATACGGACAATTCCTTCGACCTAATGGCTTGGTTTTTGCTCTGACATGCACTGTCAACTGTGGGACCTTAAATAGACAGGTGTGTGCCTTTCCAAATCATGTCCAATCAATTTAATTTACCACAGGTGGACTCCAATCAAGTTGTAGAAACATCTCAAGAATGATCAATAGAAACAGGATGCATCTGAGCTCAATTTCGAGTCTCATAGCAAAGGGTCTGAATATTTATGTAAGTAACGTATTTTCTGTTTTTTATTTGTAATAAATTAGCAAAAAATTTAAAAAACCTGTTTTCGCTTTGTCATTATGGGGTGTTGTGTGTAGATTGCTGAGTTTTTTTAAATGTTTTAATCCATTTTAGAATAAGGCTGTAACATAACAAAATGTGGATAATGTCAAGGGGTCTGAATACTTTCCGAAGGCACTGTACACTAAACATAGTGATACTTTCGCCAAGTGGATTTGTGAGATCAGCAGCATTAGGTCCGGTGCTTGGGTTTTTCCTCACTGGTTATTTGGACAAATCCCGATTTTGCAGGTGTTTGCATCTTTCAAATTTCGGAAGGAGAGGGGACATTTGGCCCATATACTTGCCTGTAACTTGCAAAGAGAAAGGGTGTAGCTCTTTTGATTTCGGTTCTGATCCTCGTTCTATCTCTTCTCTTAACACTTATGGACCCAGAACTTAATCGATCCTCTGACCAATTACACAAGACTTAAGTTCTGGCCCTTTTTAAAGATGGTGTTTTTAATATATATGGATGTCTGGAGACCTATGAATATACTTTTTTAAACCTGAAATGCAGTCATTGATTGTGAAGACTTGACCCCATGTCTGTCTTTTCCCTCTTTTTGTTCATTATTGCCCCTTTTATTGTTTCTCAAGCAAGGGGGGAGGCCGATGACATCACTAATCCCCATCAGACCAACTCCTTGAATGCCCTTCTCCTTGAAACATATTTTTTTACCCTTTAGTGTGTGTACTTTACTGTATTTATACTTGGGATATTGCCTTTCAACAGTAAAAGATCAAAAATCTCTGGAGGACTATTTTTAAGCACTTCTGTACACCTCAACTAAGCTATACTCTGCTCCATATTCCCATGGTCTATGGCTGCATCTACACAGGCAGACCAATTCTGATCTTTTGCTCAGTTATTGGCAAAAGTGCTGATCTGATTGGTCAAAAGGCCAATAAATGGAAAAATATCCGAATCAGGCTGCCTGTGTAAACGCAATCTAAGTTGTATGTTTGTGCCTGAATTGATCTACAGCTGCATGTGAATGTATACAATATGTGATTGTGACATTTTACATTTATCACCTAAATCTGTCACAGCTGTCATATCTTTTTCCAGTATGTCACTCAAGTTCAATTCGTTTTCACTTTTAGAATGGCCATGGATCAAGGCCTGTATTCATAACAGGTTTCAGAGTAGGAGTGATGATCGGATCCAGATTTCCCTTTTAGATCCTAATGAATAAGATGTATATGAACAGAGGGGATCTGATCCTAGCACTCCTACTCAGACTCTTCATGAATACAGGTCCTGATCCCTCACATGTATTGCAATAAGTGGCATTATGTGTTGTCTTGAGTGTTTGAAGGGTATTGTGCAGATGTTTTTAAATATTTGCAGTAATTCATGACCATGGGCAAATGGTGGGGTGCAAAATCTGTTAGTTCTTTTTGTGGATGGGTGGAGGGAAGATGTTCTGTACATGATTGGCAGTGCCCACGGAAACGTTACTATAATGCAGTTCCATTTTAAAAGAAACACAAAGCATTCTGGGTGCTCATTGCTTATGTTCAGTGTACATAAATAGTTCAAATATTGATGACCAATAAAGTCAATTTTCTATTAAACATGACTTGTGCTGTAGTGTTCTTTTATTTAAGAATTCAACCAACATATTATTCATAACATGAGTACAGTTAGAAGTTACAGGATGTTACAGAAAATACTTGTTACGATACATACACATTTTGACTAATTCAAAAATATTTTTTATAATGTTGAAATATAGAAATGAAAACATCCAGATTCTCATCATGTTGAAACTAACCTCCTTCTTGAAACTAGGTCAAAAACAGCACATGACCAGACCTGCACATTGTCCTTGATTGCGCAACCACTCTCCAAAAACACATCCGAGGCTCTTTCCCTGAAAAGCTTGTTTGTCTGAGTCAGTGTTCGTCCCTGAAGTGGAGAGGGTGGTCTTCATACAGAACAATAACCTCAGTCAGGCTGCGCCACACACACTAGGAGGAAGATGGCTGCTCTACTGCTGCTGATGTTGGTTAGTGCTGGAGTCCTGCTGTCTTCTACTGAGGCTCAGGAGGCTTACAGTAAACTCCCTGATAACTACAGGAAAGGAGTGGATCTGTCCCTGCAGCAACTCAACTCTCACTCTGGAGTCAAGCACCATTTCCTCTTCTTCAAGACTCTCCTGAAGTCTGACATAGAGGTAAAAACCTGGTGCCGAAAACTATTGAGGTTTCTATTGCTGGGAGGTTGACTGTGGCAGGACTGCGTTTTGTGTAGACCATTCTGGTAAATGTTTATGGTTGTTTAGTCTACTCAATGATACATTTTCTTCCTCTAGCCTGGATTTGGTGTGAGCTACATTTATCACAATTTCTACCTGAAAGCCACCAAGTGCCCAAAGGGAACGGTTGACTCCATGCAATGCAAGTTCAGGAATGACCGAGTGAGTACCTGGAATTGTCTGAGCACAGTTGTGCTGAATCATCAACAACCTTTAGGGCTTTCATACAATCCCATAAGTTATACACATCAAAGTTTACAGCATGGAATTGTAATGTACATATAATGCTGTCGTATTGTGTGTATTTATACAGCCATTGATAGACTGTGCAGTCTGCTACAAAACCTTTGCTGGAGAGATTGAGAAGGATCCCAAACCGTATGTCCACTGTGTCCACAAACCAGCACTTACAGAGGTTTGTTGGATCGCTAGTTGTCCCCTCCCCCAACTCTAATCTGTTTCAATCACTCACCACTCAAATTCTATAACAAAGTATGCTTATGAAGAAAATGTTAGAATTGTCATGAGGAGAATGATAGAATTGTCTATATACTAGCTCCTATAAAGATTAAGGACAGTATCACAAGAGAGGTGAACTCTTTCCTATAATCTAATTCAGAAACGGACAGTAATTGCAGTGATTTGTTCCATCACATCATTGAGTAAAAATGGATGTTGAAGACAAATATACAGTATATTGTGAAGGTTATTAAAGCAGAATATTAACCTGTTTATTTCCCCTTGTGAATTTCAGGAAATTACGACATCAAGAGTAGAACACTGTAACACAATGGGTTACCACAGTGGAGCCCCAACTCTCCTGGCTTCTAAATCTTAAAGTGAAAGGGGCCATGTTAGTTCTGTGCCATGACGAAATGATGGTATTGCAGAATACATCTGGATTTAGTCTGGAAAGACAGCCTCATTTCATCTGTATTCTGTATTCATTATTCTGTATTCACCTTCATACTGTTTCTAATTACTTTAAACACGCTTAGGCTTAAGTTCCAAGTGTTCACTTCATGTATGCTATGTACGTATTTCCTATTCCTCTACCTCTGCAATATCCCAGTAGTTGAGCTAGATGCTTTACTACTGTGTAGCCCATTCTTTGTTAAAATGTTGAAAGTTGAGTGTGGTACATTTATGTTCAATAAAGTTTTATTCAGAAAATATGAATTCAAGTCATTGGTGTTCTCTCTTCCAAATAGCACATAGGTAGACATGATAGGGGACATTCCTCTAGATGTTACAGCATCTCCCATTTCTCCATAGGAAGGCCAAGGAAAACAGTCAGTTGACTGATAGCATGTTTAAACTTGCACTTCTGATTCCTTGGGTCTGAGCAATACGTGTTTTGAGTCTCGTTAATGTTTATCCCGGTGGAATAATGAGTGTCTATTGTCTATAGGGTGTTACTAACAGTGAACTGAACAATACAACACAAACAAGATTTGTTTAATATAAAATGTTATTTCAGTCTGGGTTTAATGTGCAATACATCTACCACAATTTCTACCTGAAAGCCACCAAGTGTGCCAGGGGAAATGTTAATCCAAGCCCTCAGCAATGCCAATTCAGGAATGACCTAGTGAGTACTTCCTTGTACATGTTTCTACTGTCTTTTGTCAAAGCTTTTAAATAATATACATGAGTATTTCAATGATCAGCTTCTTGTCAATTCAACAACCAACTGGGCACAGACGTCAATTAAACGTTGGTTCAACGTAATTTCATTGAAATGACATGGAAACAACCTTGATTCAACCAGTGTGTGCCCAGTGGGAAACTTTATATATGTTTCTAGAGATAATGTACAGTATAAGGCTGCTGACATCATTACAGGCTATAGATACAGCAACATGTTGAATCCATATTTTGTGTGTATTCTAACAGCCACTGATGGACTTTCGAGTTTGCTACAAAACATTTGCCGGAGAGATTGAGAAAGACCCCCAAACCGTATGTCCACTGTGTCCACAAAACAAAACTAGTGTTTAAATGTGTTTGAAATGATGACACAGCATGAGACCATTTCCTTTTGTTTCAGGCTATGACGACAACAAGACAAGAGTACTGTCGCAAGATGAGCTATGCCAGCGGAGCCCCTACTCTCCGTCATTAAGACTGAAATACCATAGAATAGATGGTTAATAAGACAGAAATGAAAATGAACTGCATTTACAACACACTGGTGTTTGTGCCAAGATCACAATTTTTTATTTAAAGGGCAATTCCACCACTTTTCAACATCATTATCTCCAGCACAATACCAGTGTCTACATATGTGAAAACGGTGCATTTGAATTTTATTTTATTTTTTATAACCTGATTTTCAAAACAATGATTTGCAGTGACGTGGGGAGCAGGAAAATGCCCTCGCCCTGGCTAGAAATTATTGTTTTGAAAATCATTGTTTGTTACTTCTAATCCTACTCAATGATGTCAACCATTATGAATTTAGGACCTTATCTTTATAACCACAGAACGTAGAAACGTGCCGTTTTCAGACACTGGTATGGTGCTGGAGATAATGAATATCAGGTTGAAAAGTGGTGGAATTGGCCTTGGTAAATTGGTAAATTCTGATCACATTTACACATTTTGAATAATAATGTACTAAATGTACATGTCTGTATATAGTGTAATATGTAATATCTCAGCTACACTGAAATTATTTAAAAAACCACAACAATGACCGAAATCTGTTAACTAAGTGGTGAGCCATTGCTATATTGATTTCATGCTTCCCTTTGCCAATTCAAACAAACAACGTAATTACTAGGCTAGCTGACTGCTGAGAATCAACCTTTTGACTCTGTTGTGAGACATTGTTGTCTAGGTAATAACATTTATAGAAGATTTAGAACATTCCATTGTATCACTGCTATTCATTTGAGAAAGGAAATTCTAGTGGTGGTAAGTTACAGTACATAACAGCTGCATAACTGCTTAGGTGGAGTTACAATGCACGAGTTGTGTAATGAAGTCACATGTACAGAGACCAGGTCCTTTCTTAGGGCCCTCTTTGACCCAATGCCAGGGACAGATGTTATTGTTTCCCCAATCCGGTTCCTAACAAGTACATTGCAAAGATATGCTCTGCACATACCGCAAAAGAAATGCATAAAATCATTGCCCTTTGAGTTTGCGCAGGTCACTGCGACTTGGTGTTCGGGTGATGAGCAGCCACAGGAAGATGGCACTCTCCAGAGCTGCAGGGCTGAATTCACATGCAACTAAAGTAGGGAAGTAAGACATGGGGGAAATAAATTGGCTCGTTTTGACTCTCAGCCCTGCTGCAGGATCAGTCCCGTTCCCTTGGCTTGGGTTCCTGCTTACATGGGTCATTCTACAGAAGTGGTGCAAATTGCAGTCCCACCCTAAAAATATATATATTTTTAAACTCCAAACTAAATAAATGTATTTACATCATGATATGTTCTAATTCAATCCAAGGCAATAACAAACATATTGCTAAATTAATATAGTACAATGTAATTGTTTATACACCTAGTTGTATTGAGAGATGGCTTTCCCGAACACTGACTCCTGAACTTCATGTTTGAAAATAAAGCAATTCATGATTTTAAAAATGTTTTTAACACTATTATTTTTAAACGTCATTCAAAAAAAAAGCTGTCCCACATTTTTATGTCACCCCAACAAATATCACCAGGTGATGGGATCACAATCCTCTCCAGCATGACCAACATGGTGAGTTGTCTGTCTCCAAACATTGTGGAGAACATGAGTGAGCAAGTTGGTAAATCTTCATGTATTTTTAAGAAGTGTCACTACCAAACATATAATATTGAAATAAATAAGTCAAGTATGGTTTTGGGATTCAAATATGTTTGCTGGGATGTACATCTGTCCAATTGAAAGCTACCAATCCATATGCTAGCTATGGTGATTTATTAAAGTAAAAAATAAGTCTAAATTATCCAAACGGAAACAATTGACACCATAGATATATAGGTGTCTCATCTTTGTATCTGTGCCATTATGGTGTGTGTGGCAGCACCTTTGAGGCTATCTCCATTTTAAGGTTGCATGTGCCATGCTCTACCAGCTATAGAGGACCACCATGTGGGTAGTTACAGAGGGTCAAAGATCAAACCCCAAGACATGCTAACCTCCCCTGTTATTGGTCATGGTTAGCATGTCTTGAGGGTATGATCTTTGAATTTGACCCTCTGTAACGTTCTCACTCGTAATTATTCACAATTCATTCAGGAATATCCGTAATCACGGTAGCATCCACATTAATGAAGTGTTTTGAAACATGTTCTATTCTTATTTATAATAAAGGTGACTCCAAAGTAACACAATTCATATTGATCAGATCACGAAACTCACGTTAGTGCAAGATGTAAACCAGGCTCTAGACAAGATTGATTTGCCAATGGGGTTTCACTCCAACTACAAAGTAGAGGGAAAGAATTAGAACTCATGGTGTGTCATGCTGTTCATTTTGGGATAGGGGAATGTGTGATACTAAACTTGTTCACATACAGTGCCTTCAGAAAATATTCATACCCCTTGACTTTTTCCACATTTTGTTGTGTTGTAGCCTGAATTTCAAATTGATTAAATATAGATTTTTTTGGTCACTGGCCTACACACAATACCCCATAATGTCAAAGTGGAATTATGTTTCTTTTTCTTTTTACAAATGAAGAAAAAATGGAAACCTGAAATGTCTTGAGTCAATAAGTATTCAACCCCTTTGTGATGGCAAGCCTAAATAAGTTCAGCAATAAAAATGTGCTTAACAAGTCACATAATAAGTTGCATTGACTCACTCTGTGTACAATAATAGTGTTTAACATTACTGTTTAATGACTACCTCATCTCTGTACGTCACACATACAATACAATTATCTGTAAGATCCCTGTCGAGCAATGAATTTCAAACACAGATTGAACCACAAAGACCAGGGAGGTTTTCAAATGCCTCGCAAAGAAGGGCACCTATTGGTAGATGGGTAAAAATAAAATAAAAAGCAGACATTGAATATCCCTTTGAGCATGGTGAAGTTATTCATAAAAAAACGGAATGGAGCTAAGCACAAGCTAAATCCTAGAGGAAAACCTGGTTCCGTGTGCTTTCCACCAGACACTGGGAGATGAATTCACCTTTCAGCGGGGCAATAACCTAAAACAAATAACCTAAAACACAAGGCCAAATCTACACTGGTAGTTGCTTACCAATAAGACAGTGAATGTTCCTGAGTGGCCGAGTTACAGTTTTGACTTAAATCTGCTTGAAAATGTATGGCAAGACCTGAAAATGGCTGTTTAGCAATGATCAACAACCAATTTGACAGAGCTTGAAGAATTTTGAAAAGAATAATGGGCAAATGATGCACAATCTGGAGGCGAATTAAACAGCTTGGCTGTCGAAACGTTGGTTATAAAATTATTACATCTGAGCTCCTAGAGTGTGCTGCTCTCCTTTTCTTTGTCAGATATTGTGTGCAAAGCTCTTAGAGACTTACCCAGAAAGACTCACATCTGTAATCGCTGCTAAAGGTGATTCTAACATGTACAGTGCCTTGCAAAAGTATTCATCCCCCTTGGTGTTTTTTCCTATTTTGTTGCATTACAACCTGTAATTAAAATTGATTTTTATTTGGATTTCATACACAAAATAGTCCAAAGTTGGTGAAATGAAATGCTAAAAAAATGCTAAAAAATAAGTAATGGAAAAGTGGTGTGTGCATATGTATTCACCCCCTTTGCTATGAAGCCCCTAAATAAGATCTGGTGCAACCAATTACCTTCAGAAGTCACATAATTAGTTAGATTGCACACAGGTGGACTTTATTTAAGTGTCACATGATCTCAGTATATATACACCTGTTCTGAAAGGTCTGCAACACCACTAAGCAAGGGGCACCAACAAGCAAGCGGCACCATGAAGACCAAGGAGCTCTCCAAACAGGTCAGGGACAAAGTTGTGGAGAATTATAGATCAGGGTTGGGTTATAAAAAATATCAGAAACTTTGAACATCCCATGGAGCACCATTAAATCCATTATTAAAAAATGGAAAGAATATGGCACCACAAGAAACCTGCCAAGAGAGGGCGGCCCACCAAAACTCACGGACCAGGCAAGGAGGGCATTAATCAGAGAGGCAACAAAGAGACCAAAGAT